TTAACAACCCTTGAAACTTTTAGTTTTTGCTCAATGATATAGTATTATCTATTTAGAAAGTCAAATTAAGTTCTAAGGGAAGGGAAAAGTCATGATAATTATACCAAAGAAATAGTTCCATGTAGAAAAGCTCATGAGTTTTAAAAAAATTATGAAAGATATCTTGTCTCTACCTCAGGAATCCCAATGGATACTGCTGACCTCAAGTCCACACGCTCCTAAGAACCTCCTAGAGCATCTAAGGTGGAGGATAAAAGAAAAACAACAGTGACTCTCCTGAAATTTTACTTATGTGATTGGGACTTAATATTGAAGCATGAGCTGAGGGTTCCAATAATAATTTTCACTCAATATTTTTTACAGTGTCAGTAAACTATCCTGCCTTTACTTCAATAATAATGAGATGGATATTCCTATCTTCTAAATATTCAGAAAGGTGGGCTCAGGTGGGCCTCTAAGTTGACTTTTTAAAATTAATTCTTCTCAAAGAAGAGAATTTCCAGGAGATCACTTCTATCCAAAAAGTTCCAGGAGAAGATCCAGTCACAAGTATCATGCTTTTAACCTAGCTTTAAGTCACTCTGTGATAAGATGATATGATGCCTAAAAAAATGAATTAAAACTGTATGACTTCATAGATAAGATCTCTAGAACAAAAGGAAGAAGAAAGGATAAAAAACGTAATGGGGGGCAAATTTGATCAAAGTACATTGTGTGCATGCATGAAAATATTACAACGAAACCTCTTTATACAATTAATATAAACCAACTTAAAAAAGAGAACAAAAGATCTCTACAACATAATGTTGAGTGAAAACTTCTGTTATAGAATAGCATATACAGTATAACTTCATCTAATTTAGAGAAAAATGAGAGGGTCAGGGGCCACTAGTGGTTTGTGCCTGTAATTCCAGCTACGCAGGAGGCAGAGATCTGGAGGATCACCATTTGCCTCAGCCAGGGCAAAGAGTTAGTGAGACCGTATCTCAAAAATAAGTTGGGCAACACATGTCCATGATCCCAGCTATGAAGGAGGCCACAAGTACAGGGATCACAGTCTGAGGCTGGCCCCACACAAATACAGGAGATCTTTCCTAAAAAAATATCTAAAGCAAAAAAGGTCTGGGGGCGGGTATGGCTTAAGTGCTAGAGCTCCTGCCTAGCAAGTGCAAGTCCCTAAGTTTAAACCCCAGTCTGAGAGAGAAAGAAAGAGAAGAGAGAGAGAGAGAGAGAGAGAGAATGAATATTTGGAGAGAGACCAATATAGTTTAATAATATTTAGGTGTAGATTGTGAGTACCAGTGCTATTTGGTTTTGCGCGTGTGCTTTTCTATGATGCTACTTTTTTTGTGTGAGAGTGTACAAATTTTTAATAGTAAAAAACAAAGTTATTTGCATTTTAACAAAAGCATACAAAACAGGAAGAAATCTCAAAGCACAATGAGTTCATTTATTTGATTCAGAAACTTAGTACAAAAAAGGTGAACCTACCCACAAGTCAGATCTCCTTATTCCCAGTTTGTTTGTCCATTCATTTCATATATCTCCTCCTTTTTTTTTTCTTTTTTAAATTATCTGACTTCGGTGTGGAACCAGCCTTTGTGTAGTAAGTGGGCAGCTACTCTGCTGAGGTCTGAGTGGCCCCTGCCAGGCCATCCCTACCTAGCTTGCCCTGGACTGATCCTGCTACAGGATATCATTTCTCAGTTAGGCTAAACACTCAAACATCATGTGCAACATCACCTGGGAAGAATATCACATTGCATGATTATCTGCCTTTTGGAATAATATAGCCAGCTTACTAACCAGACAGGTAACAGCTCAGCTAGAAACCAAAACACAACTAAAGTGATTTTTTTTTTTTAGTATTGGGGTTTGAACTCAGGGCCTCATGCTTGCTAGGCAGGTGCTCTACCTTTTGAACTATTCTGCCAGCTCCACAGTTAAGTGTTTGATCAGCCTCAGGAAGAGTGAGGCACCCAGAGAGCAAGGATGCTGATAGATTGCCAGGGAAGTGGAGAATTTTAGGCAGTGTAAATGATTCAGAAAGAGAGGAAGGTCTACTCAGGAGACAGTTACTCTACAATGTGCACCACAGCTCAAGACACTTTCAGGGCCAAAACTGCCCATTTCCAGATTAAATAAGTCAAATGGAGTCTAAGTCATTGATTAGGCTGCTGAGTTACATACCTATGTATCATGACTGTGCTTATTGGCTCAAAACCTGCTAACGTCATACCCATGTAATGAAAGATTCACCTATATGTTAAAATTCTTCTCTACACATCTCCATAATTAAGTGGTTAGCTGAGTGTTAGTCTGGGAATATAGCTCAATGGTAGAGCACTTGCAAAGAAAACAACCCACCATATATAGACATTTTTTTCTAAAACTCTTGAGTGCTTATCAGGATCTTCTATAGGGTTGATATCCAACTCCTGTTTAATTCCATGTGTCAAGCTTTTTTCTTGGATGTTCTCTGTAAATTGAATCCACTTATGATGTAGTCTGATCCCAGCTCTCAGAGTCTCATGATGCCTCACCTCTGCCTGTGGGCACTTTCTGATCAAAGTGGCATATATACATAGATGTCATCCCAACAATTTCTGATCTCACTATCCTCTTAATATATTTACACACTTCGTATTCATATTTAAATAATTTTTGCTGCAAAGAAAGCAATCACATTTCAAACCACACATCCTTAAATACTATTGTGTAGTAACAAAACAGATTATTCAAGCCACACATGAAAACCAATTTTGTTGCTTTGTTGTCATACTTCATCCTGCTGAGGCAATACAATATTCTATCACCAAGTAGAAAGTCTATCTGCTAAAACAACAGAGGGTTGAATATTAAAAAAGCAAGTTTTTTGAGGGCCCCATTTAACCTTCTTTAGGTTACAGTTTCTGCACCTGTCAATGACAGTAATTCTTACCCTAATCTATTGAGTTCACGTTTAGGGAACATATGGAAAGATACTTTTAAAAATAAAAAGGTAAAAAACTATCACAAACACATAGATTTAAGATTGTAACCTTCTCAAAGTACTCAAGGTCTTTTACCTCCCCACCACTTGCCTGCCGATTATCAGCAAAACAATCCTGAAGTTCCAAGGCCAGCATGCTCAGAGGTTTATAAAGTGCCATAGGCAAGCACACACACCCTCCCTTTGTGCTTATACATTTAAAATGCAGTTTCTCTAAATGAAGCACTCTATTTTTTTTTTCCTTTTTCCAAAGCCCCAGGCACTTCCATAAGCACAGAAAGGATGCCTGGGCTGTGGGCACAAGAAATGGCAGCAGTGCCTGCAAACTCGCCCAGTGGCAGCATGCTTGCATTCGCTCATCCAGTTACCTTGGAGTCCGTCTTTCTCAGAGATGCTCCTGCATCCACCAAAAGCTGGCACACAGCCCGGTTCCGTTGGCAGGCAGCCTTGTGTAGTGCAGTCTCACCCCTAAATCAAAGATGAAATGGGAAATCACCCATAAAAGGGTTGGAGACAGGCATGGGGATGGGTGCAGCAGGTGGGGAGAGGGGACTTAGCCTATGCTGCTGGCTGCTGGGTGCTCCTCTGCCTTCTTCCTGTGGGCAACTGACACCAAGGCTGCAGGGTATATTCTGGGGAGATGGGAAAGAGGGTGACTAAAACTTCCTTGAGTTCCTCTTCAACTGACCTGATATCTGATTCTAGTCTCTTTTCTGAACAATACTAGGCATACTGATAATTTTCAAACTACTACTGTTTGATTTAGGATATATTCAATGACCAATTGTGCAGACATTTCTGAATATCCATTTTGGCAAAAGATAAAGAGCTCTCAATGGAGTGCATAGGAAGCCACATAGAAGTCCCCTCGGCACATCTCACAGCATTTGGCAGGCACCAATTCAAATACATCCCAATTTCAAAGGACTAAGCTGATACCCTTTCTCTCAGCCCACTTGAGTTCCTGTGAGTGACAGGTGGAAGGACTGAGAGGCTCCGTGAGATTCTAGGAGAGTTCATAGGCCCAAGAGCTCCCCAGTAGGCAGGCAGCAGGCCTGAGACTAGTCTCTCAGGTTGGGGACATGGGAAAGGGGACAGTTTCTAGTCTCTTCAGACAGTTGAAGGAGGAGAAAGAATACTCCTATTCTGAGCTCTAAAGTAAAAAGATACATAATGCCAAAGCGTTTGATGAAAAAATCTAATGTCACCCTTAGAGAAGGCAAATTGGATGAGCGGCACCATGTACAACCATGCCAACAAGACATGTGTGTGGACCAGGTAGTGTCTGCAGTGTCAAGTAACTCATAACTGTAGCCCTTACCACGAGCCCTCCACTCCTAATTCTTCTGCTCCTGCCTGTTCAGCTGTTCACCTGCTCATTCCTCTCCACCCCCATCATCTTTATTCCTTTCTGAATTTCTCTAGTGACTCCCATATGGTTTTTCAGGGTTAGCTGCTTGACCTTTCTTTGTTCCTGTTGATGGAGCAGTAGCTATTTTGTTGCCAGAGGAATAGGAAAGTTGAAAACAAATGTTATCAGTTTAGGGACCATCCCAGAGCTGATGACTGATTTACTATGTTCTCACTTCTCTAGTGGTGGTACATAACTTACTCTGTTACAGACTAACAGGGAGAAGTTGTGTTGTAACATGCAAAGGATGCTTTAGGGCACCAGAATCTCATTTTCTGGTAAGAAAGAATAACTGTTACAGGTACAGATAAAGGGAAATGTGCTTAATTAGACTTGTTAGCAGTCCAAGACACCCCAGTATAAAGTGTTTTGCTTTAGGAAGTCTAAAATGTACCCAGCATTAACTAGGCACGCAGTCATTATTACACTTGTCATCAACTTTTGTTGTATAATATTTTACTCAGCAGATTAGCTCTGCATAGTTAGATACAGTTGAAAGTGGACTTTTAATGCAATTAAAATGACCAGATATGCCTTCTAGACATGATCTGTAGAAAATAATCTAGACTATGTAACAAAAGGAAACACTCACGTTTCACTGTCTGCCATATCCAGTAACTCTGAAGGTCCTAAAAGAGAAAAAAGCAAGATGGCCATCAAAAACAACCTCCAAAACTAACCACCAAAAGATAATCCACAGTGATAGAATTAAAATGCCTTAGAAAGGTGAATTGAAAAAGAATAATTCAATGATAAGGATAATAAGACAAAAAGAAAAAAAGGATTCTTCTATCTCTTAATCACCAATCTTCCAACCTCCATGAACCAATATGGAATGGATATCCAAAAGATGCTGTGAGCTTTGCCATCCAGAATCTTTTATTTGAACTGAATAAAATTTAACTGAAATAGAACCGAAAAACAATGCAGTGACTAACTAGAGAGAAAGGAACCAACGAGTGGTCTTGGAGGACTGTTTTGCACTCTCCAGCTGCAGGTTAGAAGGGACTGGTCTTCCATAGCATAACATGAAAATTCTAAGGCACTGCATGCATCACCTAGTCCAATCTCTTTAGTTTAGAATTAGCATAAAATTCTGTTTTCTGAAAATCTCTCTTCTAAGATCTGGAAGAAATCTTACACATACATGTCAAATGATTATAGATGCATCATTAATTGAGATATACCATGAGTTTGCCTTTTCTCAATGCTTAATTTGTTTAGCTATAAATGAATTCTGTGAACACTACTTGGAATATCCACCCTTCTTTCTTCTGACTGGTGTTTCGGTCTCTGCAATCCCTTGCTCTATCTAGTGTGCAGTTACCTTCTGAGACCCATTTCCTCTGAAAACTCCCCTATGGCACCACTCAACATACTGTATTAAATACCTGGTTTTATATGGCCCCTCATTTTAAATACTGACCTTACTTCCAATACTTGAGTGGATAATTTGATTTATCATCTGCATTGGGACCATCCAAGGCAAGTGAGGCTATTTGATCACATTGACCGAGCATAGTACTTGTAAAACTATTTTGAAATCACTATAAATTTATTTTTCTCTGTATCTGGACTCTAATAAGCCTCTGGAAGTTTTGGCCTATGCTTTGCACACCACTGTATTCTTCCTGGGTGCCTCACACAGAGTCTGATACCAAACATTTCTCAAATTTTAGGTTGAGCAAATGGACAAATACACTTGGAAATGCCAAATCTGGTTCTTGGTAGTATTGGGCTAAGAACCCAAAATTTTAGTCTCTAGTGATGTGATCCTTGTGATTTGCTCTCTGTATTGGTTGAAGTCATCATTTTTGAAAATAACTTGTTGTTCATAATAGAAGAAGAAGAGGAAGAAGACGTTAGTAACTATGAACATCATTGGCCAAGGCGATGACGAAGATGTTATGGGACCTTTACACTCCTCCTGGTCATCCATAATCTTCACTTACTTGCTCTCAGTGAATTGTCTCTTGTAATGTCTCTCTCTCTGTCTCTATCTCTCTCTGTCTCTCTGTATCTCTCTCTCTTATCTTATTTGACAACTAAACTCTCACAGGTCTCTGTCTGGAATGTGATTAGCATACAGAAACTTACTAAGAACAATATACAGGTCTTATATCACCTACTGCTTATTCTCAAATATTTAATGGAGTTCACAGTTTTTCTCTTAGATCCACCCTTCCTTAATTTGTTGCCAAAGTTCTCTTTTCTCACATAAGCTAAACTGGTAATGGGTCACTTGACCATGTAATTCTCAGGTTTTCCTAGCTCTAAATACCCGATCTCCTACTCTCCCTATCCAGAACAGCCTTTCTTTCCTAAATGTATGCCTAAATTTGACATGTTCTTCCAGATCCAGACTAGAATAAGATTCTCTGAAAAGATGACCTTAGAAGTAATCTATCTGATCTCTGAATTCCCATAATGCTATTTGCTTTTCAACTATATATCTGTCTCCTTAAATAGATTAACCTAAATCTGAGTGCGAGAATACCTTAATTATATTTTTGTATTCCTGTATATAATATTAACAATTCAATAAATATTTACCTCATCCGTTTTTGCTTTTAAGTTCTATGATGCTAAGAAAATGTTTGTTCCTCACTTCTATGATTATGAGTAATAAACCCTTCTTCTTCCACCTCACACACACCCAAAGAGGTATGGGGTAGTGATTAGGAGTGAGGTTTCTGGAGTCTTACCTCCCCACCCCCAGTTTTGAAACCCCAATAGCTGATCAGATTTGGGGTAGGTTCATGTTCATTTAGTTCCTCAATCTCTTAGCTGTCATATATGCAAAGTGAATTAACAATATTTATCTCACAGAGTTGTTGTGTGGTTTCATGAGTCCATCCATGAAATGTGCTTACAACAGTGCCTAGGGTACCACAAACCTTGTTCCAAGTTTGGAGAGCAGTAACTGCTATTCTTGGCATACAATAGCTAATAATTCTAAGTCAAAATACTGCACCATCAGTGATGTACAAGGGCCACTTCACTCTCACTACATTTGAAGCCACTTGCTGATTCAAATTGTATGTCCTAAGAACCAAACACTCCAGGCCGGTTCAATTGCTGACAGGGCACCCTTAACATGATCAGGAGTGAGAGGCTCAAAGTGCCTGATGGTCCTTCTAAAGAGCTCCCTTTAGCAACCCTGTTAAGTCATTCATTTTGAGACAAATTTTATGCATATAAGCAGTCTAACCTCACTTGCAGCTACACTCCCATCACTGTTGCTAACTGCACAGCAATTTAGGCAGCTCAGAAGTATTTTAATTGTACTAAAACAGCAACAGTTTGACAATCTGAAGATAGGACAAAGAAAAGAAAGGACCTTGTTCCTCCAATGTCTAACCGGAATCACTACAACTGCAGCCACCTCAGTCATTCCAGCTATGATTGGCTGGATATGCTGGTAGCCACCCAGACCCACTGTTCTCTATTTAATCCTCTGCAGCTGACAGAGAGGAGAGACAGAGGCATGGACACTAAAACACAGACACTTTTGCTCTTAATTAATATCTAAAGAATCTAAAATTCAGAGTTTAAAGAATGACTCTAGAATAACTGATTCACTTAACCCCAATATCCCTTACCCAGGATCAAACAGACAATCACAAGATAGAACATTTTGGACACTGTCAAAGTTTCAAATGCCTAGTGAAGAGGGAAGACAAGAGAAAACATAAAGTTTGAATTTCTTCAATGCTTATCAACAGGTGACATTTGGGCTTGGGGCTTATTTTATATATGCATATTTTCCCATTGTGGATACACCCTTCTCCCTCAAGGAATTCAAAGTACTACCATTGGATTGGCAGCTGACAAACTCACTATTCCCTGAGTATAAAAGGAAATCTTGGATTTCTGTACCTCCCAGGGTTTATTAAATGTTTACATTCCATCCTACAGCTGACCTATACCAGAAAACAACTGTAAAATCTGTATTGAGGACTGAGGGAGCAAATTTCTCCATGAAATTTTCAGTTCTCCCTGAACCCTGCACCAGTTGTCACTGGAGCAAGGATTCTGACACATGCAAATGTCCCTTGCTGGAAGTAAGAATATGGTGGGCAGAGGACAAAGCATACAAGGAAAGGAAGTGAACCTCAAAACGCTTTAGTTTTAACTCCCTGTATAATGGAGATAAGAAAACTTCCTGTACAGAGTTGTAAGAATTTAATGTGTTAATACATTCAACATGTAGAACAATAAATAGCAGTGATGATTGTTATTATCTTTTTTTTTCCCAAAAGTGCCTGGGACAGGATTAAATTTTTAATGAATGAATGAATGAATGACACTTTTAAATCATTTTGGATCACATTCAGTATTATTTTTTTCTTCTGAGACAGACCCACAATTGAAACATGGATTTAAAAGACTGTAAAGTAATGGAAATGGCCTGAAAATTGAAGGAAATAAACATCTGTTGAGGAAATACATGCGTCACTATTCAGGCAAAGTCCAGGGCTTGGGAAAGGAGGCAAAACTTCACAAATCTTTTACGATGAAACAGAGAGGAAAACGGTAAGCAATCGAGCCTTCTGAATTGCAAGTGTGCTGGCCAGGGCTCAGCCTGTAGCTCTTCACTTGGCCACCCCAGTTCTTGCAGATGCAACTTTATCATCCTTATTGTATTTGTTTTGTGTATGATGTGCTTTTTGCAACATGCTTTCTTTAATTTGCTTCCCATACCCATGCATCCAAATCCCCTTTTCTATTCCTTCCACTCCCCATGGCCTCCCTCTCAGAACCTCATTTCCCATTAGTCTCCCTGACACTGCCAGCAGACCATTCCAAATCCCCCTCTGCCCCTCCACCACAGCACAAAGGCTGCACAGATGTGGGGAAAGCTGGCACTGGGAAGGCCAGCAGTACTGTCATCCTGTCCCAGCAGGACAGTGGTAGTTTCTCTCAGGAACCAGAGGCAGAAAACGGGAGTTAAAAAAAAAAAGAAAGACTGAAGGCAAAAAAAAAAAAGGAGGACAAAATAACCTATTGAAATACAAAAAGGAAATGCATGAGTGAGATTTCTATCAGGAAGAACAGCAGGGGGGCACTGGGATAGGCTGGGGGAGAATAAAAACAAAAGAGCAAAATGCTCAGGGTAGTAAAGGAACAAAACACCACAAAAGTCTCTTGGAGGGGTAAGCTAGGGGGAGGAAGCTGGTAAAAACTATAGTTGAAAGGAGTTGAAAAGCAGCAACCACTCTGGGGAGTCTCTGCTGGAATCCCTGCATCCTTAGCCTCTGCCCTGTCTCTGGAATTGTCCCCTGTCCTCTTCCTCTGTTCTCCTTTCAGCCCTATAAATGCCCAGATTCCAGTTTTTCAAAAGGAAAGCAGCATGCTGATGTGTGAGAGAAGTCCAAGGGAAGATGCCTCCTGTGGCTTTTTCAGAGCACACCACACATCTCACTTCCCACAGCCCCATAGCTAATTTAAAAGAGCCCTTAGAAGAAAAACGCATTGCTGATGGCTGTGTCTGGGAGGAGAACTCATCTCTCATGGCTCTTGTTCAGGAGGTGTCCTCTTGGTTGTGGACTACACTCCTCAATTTATATATACAAGGAAGAAGTCAATGACCACCTAAAATATCCATTCTGCACCTTGAAAAGGGCCCATTGGTTCCTCGGAACTATTGTTAATAAAAGAATCTTTACAGTGAGGTCTCTGAACAACTTTTAGGATTTATCTTATCTGAACACATGGGAAAGGTGTACACCAAATTTAAAAAATGAAAAATAAAAAAGACATCAAGATTTGCAGCATACAGGTGGTCAGAAGGAGCTCTCTTGATCTTTGGTATAGTACAAAATTTCAGTTATTCTTTGCTTTGCCTCTTTCTTTCTTTTGGTACTGGCATTAGAACTCAAGGCTCCATGCTTGCTGGGCAGGTGACCTACAATTTGAGCCATGATCCCAGCCCTTTTATCTCTGGTTATTTTTTTATGTATTGTTTTAGATAGGGTCTTGCTTTTTGCATAGGCAAGGCTGGACTGCCATCCTTCAATTTTATGCTTCCCACCATAGCTGGGATGACAGGCTTGCACCACCATGTCCAGATTTTTTCTCTTGAGATGAGGCTTGGTGAACTTTTTGCCTGGGTTAACCTGGAACCATGATCCTCCCAAACTCAGCCTCCCGTATAGCTAGGATGACAGGGCGTACCATCACACACACATGGGGTGCATATCGCCTACTGGCTGGGGTGGGGGTCTCCAATTTTTTGTTTGGTCTGGCCTCAAATCATGATCCTCCCAATCTCAGTGCCCTAAGTAGCTAGGGTTACAGGTGTGAGCCACCAGTTACTGACTTTATCTATTCATTCTTATTTATATAAATTCAAACAAATTAGACTTATCTACTACAAACCTGACATTTATAAATATAATGCCATAATATTATTTACACACCTAAATCCCAGCCTTCCTGTGGCCTCTTAGAAAGGGCTATTAGAGGGCGGGGAGGGGGGACAGGGGGAGGCCATGACAGGGGAATTTCAGAGTTAATGTCCAACGTCAATAAACATGAATTGCATTTGAATTTCCATTATTAAACTATAATAATAAAGGTTAAAAATTGCCATACATAATTCCTGGACTGCAGGTCATAAGACTTTATTTGCAAACAGAAGAGATGGATTTACTTCACTGTCTTCACTGTCATCCTCCCAGATAGCTGCTGGCTAATTAAAGATCTTAGTGAATCAGGGAGGGTTAAGAAGGTCTCGTGAGACCAGAGGGATCTTTGCCTGAGAGTGAAGTCAAGACAGTCTTGAGATTTTTCTCATGAACATAAATATTAAACAAATTTTCAAAATTTAAGCAGTTTTTCTGTACTAAAAAATAAGCAGCCACCTTCAAAGAACAAATTCCTTTGTGTTCTATGGTTTTGGCAGAGACAGCGTATTATGTGACTCACCCTTTGCAAAAGATAATGAAAATCAATGAGAAATTAATTTCCTATTTGAATTTTAGGCTTTAATCAAAGTGCCAGATGGGATTTGGTGCCAGGCAAGTATGGGTGTGGTGATCTACATGTGAGGTCAGATACTTCAAGCCCTGTGAGTTTAGATTAAAGCTACTTCATGAAACACTGCTGTTTAAGGCAGAGAAAAAAAGGGGCAGCATGGAGAGTGAATAGCCAAGGTATTTTAAGAGTATCATCCCATGCCTCATCATTCACATCCCTGGGGAGACTGAGCTGAAGACAGGGAGTTTCGGTTTGGTCTCAAATATCACACAAGATACCTTATGTTTACAAAACAGTGTTTTCTTCTTGCATTTTTATTTGCTAAATCTGGCAACCCTAGTTTAAGGCCCAGAAAAAAGAAAGACAGAACTGAGTCAGAAGTTCAGAATATTGAGAGAGTAGGGAACCTCATTTTCAGTTGAGAATGGTCAGTAAGGGAGGGCAGAGATTAAGAAGACCACACTTCTTCCATCAAGCAGTGAAGTCTATCTCCCAACCCCTTGGATCTGAAGTGACTTGTTTTTTTCCACCAGAATGCAGTGGAGATAATGCATAACTTCTTTGCTTAGCCTCAGGAACCCCAAAACTGCCATGCTGTGAAGAAGTCTGGGATAAAAGACCATAACTGAATAAAGGTGCAAGTGTCCTGACCTTTCCAGCTACCCCAGCTAAGAACTTTGAACATGTGAGAATGTGAAAATCCATTTTAAAGAGAACATTGGTCCAAACAGGGGCTGACTGCAGCCCCCTAGGTGATCCAGCTGACACAAACAGAATTCTAGAAGCAGAGGTGAAATACTGCTTCTTCAGGAAAAGAAAAGAGAAGGGGAGGAAAAACAATTCCTGGATTGTGTGATCATTCAAATACATGGCCAGCATCTTATCCAATTCCAAAGAGAGTGCTACATGCTTAATGATTTGCAAGTAGACATTCAAAGTCATTGGATAAAGGGTAAACTAGAGAGATTAACCAAGAAGACAGCAACTCAGAGAACATTAAACCTGATCTGAGGAAAAATAAAGAAATAGAATTTATCTAATGCTTACCTCCTGAGCTCATTGCACTAGACATCCTGAAAACCGTTTTTTCCTAAGAAGGGAAAAGTAACACAGAATGTGTGACTTTATTCATCTTCCTTGTGCTGGGCTCTAATATTTGGTTCTGTCTCTTATCAACTTTTGGAGAAGTTACAATATGTGAAACAAAACTATGGTGTGTGTGTGTGTGTGTGTGTGTGTTCAGCAGAGATTATGCCACCATTGGTTTTACAAGTCAGGAAGAATGCTTTCAATTGCAGCAGGCAGAAAAAGTAGGAGACAGAAGGATGCATACCCCAGACTCAACACCGCCATACGCCTCATCTACCTGGGCTTTCTAGGGCTAACAGCCTTGGGATTACCCAAACCAGCCTATGGGGGGAAAGGAATTCTCTAATGCTCTCCATTCTCACCTGTCAGACTTTTTTTTCCTAAATAATTCTTTCTACCACAATTCAGTCCAAGGATTCAAGCAAACTCTTCACAGTAAGAAGGCTTTGAAAACAAGGAAAGAAAGTCTGATATGATTGGTAGTCCAATACCTATCTCACAAAATCCTTATGAAGATTAAATGATGGAATGTGTTTGCTATATAAGTATTTGACATATTATGTATGCCTGATACATGGCAGTTGTGTTAACTATGTGTGGCTTTATGATACGACTTAAAACATCTACATTCAACTGTTTTAAATCTGTTTTCACACACGATCATGTTTTCTTCAGCCTGAAATTACTTGAAAGCAGTGACTATATTTTATTTGTGTGTGTGTGTGTGTGTGTGTGTGTGTGAGAGAGAGAGAGAGAGAGAGAGAGAGAGAAAGAGAGAAAGAGAGAGAGTGAGAGTCTGTGACAGGCAATCCCTATTAGGAACTCCACAAATATTTGTTAAGGCAATTAACTAATGAATGGGACAAGATGTATTTCATGAGTTGCATTACAAAGAAGCACAAAGGATGTGAACCAATAAAATCTTACTAGCCACAGTTTAAATTTGGGTGCAAAGTGAATAGGGCACAGGCTCAACACTGGCACTCAAAGAAAGTCTTCTAAGACCTCCCTGTACCGAGGTCCCTCATTTCCACTCCTTTTCCCTTTAAAGCAGCCAAGCTGGGCAGATTCCCCCCAGGAATTCCCAGGATCACTGTAAACATGGAAAGCTGAATGTAGTGATTGAGGTTTGTTGTTCATCAGATGTGTTTATGCTTTTGGAGGCAGATGCTATACATCTGCTGCATCCAGCAAGTGATCTTACACTAAATTAGAAACTCAGGAAATATTCTGACATGTTAGTCTGGCCTATCACATAGAGCACAAAAATAATGCCAACCATTTTCAGGGAGAATAAAGTGGGACTTGAGTAGAAAAGATAAATGAGAATCAAACAGCAAAAGCAGAAAAACTAAAGTCAGACATGGTGGTGCACACCTGTAATCTCAGCACTGAAGGGTCTAAGGCAGAAAGATTACAAGTTCCAGGACAGCCTGGGCTACAAAAACAAAAATAAAATCAGCAAACAAAATAATCAAAAAGAATAAAACTCAATATGTTTCGCATATTCAAAATTTACAAAAATTGAGAAACTACAAAGATGGAAAAAAATCATACTCGTGAGTCCTCAAAGATCAGTTGCCAATGTGGACTACAATAGCTGACCCTAACTAGTCAATCCACACAAAGCTCTACAAAATAAAGAACATTATGCTAGGCTGGATTTGTTTTTGTCCTTTATTTCTTAAATTAATTAACCCTCCCCAAATAGCCTGTATAGATCTCTATATGAAAACTGTTTGTCTTAAGTGCTTGGTTAAGAGGATCCATAAGTGTCAGCTGTACTCAAATAAGCAGGAAGAGGCAGCTAAGATTTTGTGAGTATTTCTCCCATTCTGAAGACATCCAGGGTGAAGGTCAACTTAGAAGACGCCATGGTGAATTAATTACATGGACAAGTGATCCTAGGTAAGTTGATTGTGACTACTCACCGTGGTCAAGGATATATTTCACAATCTCCCCATTGCCGGTTGTAGCTGCGTAGTGAAGGAGTGAACAGTGGTCTGGTCCCTGAATTAGCAGACTGCCTCCATTTTTATAGCTTTCTATTAACTGGAAAAAAAGACACACACGGAAAGAAGTTCAGAACAAGAAAAGCTACCTGGCCGTAAAATAAGACTAATGTAGCAAACCACAAATGTTTCTAGCCTCAGAGGAGGACACAGAGAAAGTCAAAGAGACAAAGTACAATTCCTGGACCACATTATCACTCACAGATAGCTGGTGTCTCACCTAGCTCCGGAGAGGGTCTGTGGGCATTGAACGGCTCAAGGAAACTGACATGTGCTGAACTGCTTTTTTCTTTTCTCTGTTGAGCCCTGGTCTGTGCTCAGGGGATTGAGAGGTAGAGAAGAGAACAAAACCTTCCCAAGGTTGGCTTAGTGTTTTCTCAAGTGAGAATAATAACGAATACCAGCAGATGAGCTCATCTTTTAATTATTTTCCTGCCTCTAACAATCCTAAGTACAAACATAAGAGCTTTTCTTCATTTTCCAGCACACAGCCTTCACACTTGCACACATACACATACATAGTTGGCTCCCTTCTTCGTGCAGCTCTGCAGCCTGCCCAAATGCCTACGAAATCAGACAACGCACAGCCAGCAAGGCTACTGGTGAGTCACAGTATGGGAACCGAGTCACTGAAGGGAATGTAATTGGTTCTGTATAAAAAAAAATTGGGAAAAAAAAAAAGACTGGGGGAGGAAATTAAAAAAAAAAAAAAACCAAGAACAGAATTTGGCAGCCTGAGAATAAGGGGTGGTAACTGGGGATATTGAAAATTTGAACATTATAGAAAGTGTTAATGGGTCCCTTTTCTCCAAATTGCTGTAGATCAGGACAATAAGTGCTTTTGTGAAGCTTCTACAAAGGTAGTTGCAGGAAAAATAAGAATCAAAAAACTCAGCAGTTCGTAAGTAAAAGGAATGCAAAAACAAAGATAAATATGATTCAGTCACTGGCTGCAAAGACCTCACAGTCTATAGAAAGGACAAAGGTGCAAAGAATTACATAGAAATGGAGAGGGAAACTAGGAGGCTCTCAGAGAAGACAAAACAGGGGCATGGAAAGGAGCCATGGAAGACCGCCTAGAAAACAGATCAAGAGTGGTTGAATGGAGGTAAGGAATCTATGGGAATTTTTAACCCGAAATTGTGGGTTAAGAGGGCAGGAAGAAGGAACTAACAGTCTTCCACAAAGATTTAAAAGAGAATCAGTTCTGTTCGACTGCATTGTTTTGCACTCTCTTTGTGGGCAGATCCATAAAGATGGCAGCACAAACACAGTCAAATACAATCAGAGTCAATAACCTTCACCTTGCCTTTATGTGGGGTTTTTAGACAGGATGGCCATTAAGTGAGCGTATGGGCATCTAATGTGACCCACTGGTACAAGCAACTTTCCTTGTGCTCCTAGATCTTTCTTCTCCAGTTTCCTCTCTCTTTTGCCTCTAGTAATATTGTCTCTCTCTCTCTCTCCTCTCTCGTCTCCTCTCTCTCTCTCTCTGTCTCACCACACACACACACACACACACACACACAGTTTATGTATCTTTGTGGGCAGATCCATAAAGATGGCAGCACAAACACAGTCAAATACAATCAGAGTCAATAACCTTCACCTTGCCTTTATGTGGGGTTTTTAGACAGGATGGCCATTAAGTGAGCGTATGGGCATCTAATGTGACCCACTGGTACAGCAACTTTCCTTGTTGCTCCTAGGATCTTTCTTCTCCAGTTTCCTCTCTCTTTTGCCTCTAGTAATATTGTCTCTCTCTTTCTCTCTCTCTCTCTCTCTCTCACACACACACACACAGTTTATGTATATTGTGCTTCCTATATCTAGACAGAAAAGGCAAGATGAGAAAGAGAGAAGAAAAATACTCAGAAAGGAAAAGAAAAAAAAATATAAAAGAAAGTGAAAAGGCTAACAAAGAAAAACTCTTAATACCTATGTTCCATCTTTCAGTAAATAAGGTGTTATTAAATCCCTCTCAGCCATTTAGGGAATAATTATAACATACAATGTAACAAGACAACCAGCTGAATACTGTCATTTCCCATATTTCAAATAATTCTGTTAGATACAAAAAATGGGTGGTGATACACTCAGGTTTCTGGGAAAATGGTTGTCTACACTAAAGAAAATAAAGTGGAAACATTTCAAATGTATGGGGCTTGCAAAGTTTTCTGGCTTAGGAGTTCTCCAGGGAAAGGATCAGTTTTATGTCTCTTAGAACCTAATATAATACCTTGCAGGAGTGTGGGATAGTACTGGCTTAGGCCACTTCTGGGAAATGGTAATGGACTCACAGGAACACTGATTAGGGAACACTTTTCTCTTCTGGGTAAAAATTCCTAGTGACACTATGATTTGAAAGTAACATAGGCACCTTCATCAGAACTATATGCCTACAAATTGCAGCTGACCTGCAAATGTTTGTGACCTTCTCCCTTTTTGTTTTCTACCAGTAACCTGTTAAAATGTAGGACAGGTACTCCTTGGCTTATATAACAGATATGCTACAAAAAAAAAAGAAAGAAAGAAAAGAAAAAGAGTGGTATATCTCAGCTTTCTTTCAAGGCATTTATTTTCTCATTCTGCACTGGCACCTCACTGCATGGGCTAATGAGTAAGGCACAGGTTAACACTACAGTATGAATAAAATAGCTAATATTTTAGAGTCCTTTCTGTGTAACGGAAACCGTCTTGACAGCTTTATATGTATGGTTATATTTAATCCTTTTGATAAAACAAAGAAAGAGGCAATATTATTGTCCCGTTCTACATATGAAGAAACTGAGGCACAGAGACAATGCAATAATTGCCTAAAATCACACATATAACAAATGGCAGAGCCAAGATCTGAAAGCAGACAATCTGACTTCAGAATTTAGATTTGCTCTCAAGGTGGTGGTGACTAGTTCCTTCCTCTGAACTAAATTCACCAGAAAATATGAGCACAGATTAAAATGTTCAGAGTGAAACAGATAATCTCTTTTGCTTAACTATGATCCCCAAAGTATAAAACTATAATAATGGAAGATGTAAGCTCTGGGCTAGAGAATGTCTTTCTGGGTATTGTTCAGGTTATTCTTAGCTGCATCCATCCCATTACCTGACTGAAAAAGAAATCCTTAAATTCTTCAAGTGTCAGCCTCTACGGATCAGGAATTCTGGGCACTGTGTGCATTGTACTCTAGGAATATGTGGTAACTTTAATTAACCCAGGGAAGTACAGAGCACTCAACCACAGCCCATTTGCTTTTAGAAAATGGAAATATGCTATGTGAACTATCCCCATTCTCTTTGCTGATTTCTCAAAAGAGCAACCTTTCTCCTTCTACTCGTCAGTACAGATAATTGATATATGGGATCTTGAAAAATTTGGTGAGGCTTAATATTCACTTAACGTTCTTAAGAGAATCACCAAAGTTTTGAAAGGAGGATATCTTACCTTCATAAGATCACCAGCTATTACTGCCTGCAAGATTGCTGTGAAAGACAAAAGAGAGATGTCCCATTAGTAGAAGACCCTCTCATTAAGATGCTGTAAAAAGATTGGGTCCTGTTTTAGAGAGGCAGTCTACATTTTGATGGATACCAGGGAAGGAGAAACATGCCAAAGGTTGAATCTTGATCAAACAGATGAAGGTCCCCTCTTCCATCACTTCTCTATCCAGGCACCAATCCCATACGTTATTCTAGAGCCTTCCTAAGCCCCCTCCACAGCTGTGGTATAGCAAAGATAACATGAAATTTGAAGTCAAATTTGATTCAAATCTTAGCTCTGAAACTTAGAAGCTGTGGAACATTGGGTAAGCAATTAAACCCTTGAGCCTCAGTTTCCACAACTGTAAATGAGAAAGTCTAAAGTTACAGGTTGGCTAAAAGATCTAATCATGATGAGATCTTTCTAGTTCTTTCTACTTTGTTCTCTCAGAGTTCAAGAACTCATCACTCTTTTCTGTTGTAAGTGGGATTTTTTGTTTGTCTGTCTGTTTTTTTGGTGGCACTAGGGATTGAATTTAGGGCTTCATGCTTCTTAGACAGGTGCTCTATCACTTGGGCCACTGTGCCATCTTTCTGCATTGGTTATTTTTGAGATAGGATCTCATTTTTCACCTGGGCAGGCCTGGACTGTGATGTTCCTATTTTGCTTCCTGTAGCTAGGATGACAGGTGCACAACCACCTCATCCAGTCACTGATTGAGATGGGATCTCGTGAACCTTTTTTGCCAGGGTTTGAACTGTGATCCTCCTGATCCCCATCATCCAAGTAGCCACTGCACCTGGCCTTATAATATTATAAGTGTTTTAATGGTAAATACAGTGCTATGGATATTAAGAGGGCCAAAGACAGCAAAAAGGAAATAGGTCTATTTTAATTAGGTTCAAACCATGTGTTTTAATGTCAAACCATGTGTTTGACATTAAATTCATAGATGACTGTTATGAAAAGAAGCCTGAAACTTTAGGAAACTTAAACTATTTGTAAGAATATGTAGCCTTGGGGGAAAATAGAAGTGTCTAATGTTTTATGTAATGTAAAGTATAGAAAGGAAATAAGAAAATAATTCATTAAAGGGGAAATATATGAGTGTGTGATAACAATTACACTCCCTAAAGGGAATTATTTGCATCAGTGTGGAAATGACCATTTGCTTGAGTAATTCCTCATTTTGGGTTAGTCAAAAGTATAGTAGGGGAGTGTCAAAAGTTGACCTGACTTGAGCTGACTTAAAAGAAAGAAAAGAGAGAAAAGGAAAGAAATGAAGACAGATGAAAATAACAAGGGAATTAGTAAAATGCTACATGTCAAAAGATCCCAAGGAACTCTCATGTGTCTTCCTCATCAATTTATAAGTGGAGACCCTGGTATTTGTAGTAAAGTGACTCTTTTAGAGCACAGTCACAGTCAGCCCCACAATGCAGGCCTCTGTGTCAAGCCCAGGTCTCTGTCCAGTGCTCCAGTGAGTTCA